CACAATGACGCAACGAGCTAGTGTGGCTGGAATTCTTGTTCCCCCGACACCCTACCATACCAGAAAGGTCTGCGGATAGTGGCTTTACAAAAAGCAATTACCACTAAAGTGTAAATCGTTACGCTGAGTCTGAGGAGGAAGTCACACTGCCAGGAATGTGAGAGCAGTAAGGTGTTTCCCTTGGATGACCAGGAGTGCCACGCTAATTCTAACTTTCCCATGAAATGAGAGGATTAGAAAGGGTTTTCTCTAAAAGTAGCACACTTCCATCACCCCGCAGTATGCCAATGCCCACGATGTGGGTTCATGGTCAAATTCAAAAGCGATAAACTAAAATCTCAAACTTTCAAAAAGGCTGTGTGACCGGCCTCAACCAGACGTCACTCGGGTTCCGCGGTCACGCACTAACCCTTCTTTTCCAACCACCTCAAGAAGACCTAGCCTTCCACGGTGTGAGCAGCCAGGAAATGTCAACCCCTCTCACAACTGTCAGCATTAACCTCTCTCAGAACACTGTTCACCTCCCACATCCTTCATATCTCTATCAATTATCCTACATCAACTCTAACTTCTCCTAGCTTTGCAGATCTCAGCAACGATCTGAGTTCCTGAAACCGCGCTTCAAACCATATATTGGAGCTTTCAATGTCCAGGCCCTCCGTTAAGTCGGTCAATAAGTTTCACTAGCCAAAACTAGCAACTCAGGCCATGGATGTGTACTATGTTTGTGAGACATGCATACAGGACCCAAATGGGGTTATTCACCTGACCTCTCCCGGTCAATCTAATGAATCAGCAAAATTCACCCTTTGAGTTTCTGAAGACTCGATGACCGGTTCTTGCTGTTTTCCAGGTGTAAGTATAGTATTGAGCATTAAGGCAGAAAGTTCACTGCTTCACTGGATCCCAGTTGACAGTCACCTATGCGCTGTTCGACTGAATGGCACAGAAACGAATAGTGAAACTTCCCGTTGTCTCTTTTCAGTGTCTGCTCATGCATCCACCGACTGCAGCTCAGATGAAGTGAAAAATGACTTCTACTGAAAATTGCAACTGATTACAATGAACAAGTGGCTAGACTAATTCAGGCAGAAAGCCATTTAGGTGGGACTTTCGGAACCCCAGCTGAACGAGTAGATAATAAATATGCTCAGGCAATCTACTATTTCTGGCCATCATGAACTTAAGACAGAGAGAAACATTGTCTGATATGGCGCCGACTGACCTCAACGGCGTACAGATATAGAACATATTGCTATCAGTTAATGTCGAATAGTGTTGGTGAGAGACTATTGCTCTTTCTGGAGCACGTATTCGAACAGTTATCACACGTTGATCCAGCACGCGCATGTCTGAGTTTCTCAGGAACAAAATGCGAACCATTGTTCCAAGACTAGTCTTCGGCGGTGCCCAGTCTGAGAGTAAGTGGTTGAGTGCGCTGACCACTTCGCTTACCCACGAACTCGGATCAAGCCTGGTGGATCAGTGGCCGACGAAATAGCTGCACGAATAAAAGAAGGCTCGACTGGCTTTCGCTAACTTACGCTATCTGTGGCGCCGCTACGATATCCGTTTGCCTATGAAGGGTCAGACGTGCTATGTTGCAGTTCACTCTGCTCTACTCTACTGCTGTGAAACATGGCCATTAAAGGTAGAGAACATGAGAAGGATTCAGGTGTTTGACCAGCTCTGCCTTCGTAGCATACGCCGTGCATCATGGTGTCACCACGTCAGTGAGGTAGTGTTTAGGGATGTGAACTTTCTTCGAGTGAGATGGCCTAGTCACCACTTGCCTCGTCGCACAATGTTGACTGAAGTATGTTCAATCCAGAAAAATGCTAGGGGCGGCCAGACCAAAACATGGCATCATTGACTGTTGGTTTAAGCCATGTTAGAGATGCAGAATAGCCTGTTGGAGTCCACCTGACAACAGAAACCAATGGTTGTAGACTCTATTAGGTAATATGACTCAGAAGTGATGTCAGTGGTGCAGATGTATCCACATTTTATCTTCCTTCTAACCCCCATGCTGAATTCAGCATTTTCCCATTCTTCCTTCCTCTCTTATATTGCTTTCTACTCTTTTTGATCGATTTTTCTTTCATTCTTCATTTTTTACCTTGCTACTCTGTTAATTGTTGTGCTGATATGGGATGTGGCAACTTGAACCGTTACAGCAATGCTATGTCCTATGTTGATATCAATTTATTTGTTTTGACTCTGACAAATTCGTTGTATTTGACTCCAAAACTTTCAGCTTCAAAGTAGATAAGTGACGATTGTAAGAGAAATTCGTGAGAAAATAATCAATACGATAAATTTGGAAGTTGGGCGGTGTATACAGCTTACTAAAAATGAGACAGGTAGGTGTATATTCGAATTAGCATGAAAGGAAAGCAAGAAAAAATGAATTTTCAGGAACTCTGTAAAAATAATGAATCACTTCATCACGAATTTGTATGACGATAAACAAAACTACTAGAATTCCATTTTAGTCTGTCTATTAGAAATATCACATAGTGAAACAGTAGCATTTACTAGAATAAAAACTGATGAGACCGTTTAGTCAGCAGAGTTTTGTACAAACAATCAACTATTGATAGCAAAGAGTAATACATAATAAGTTCTTTTTGAGTTAGGTAGCAAAAAAGGAATTATGTAGGTATGAGTATAACTGCCCAAACAGTCAGTTATTGCTGAAAGTGTTGTAGGTGTCAACTGGCCCTGAACATAAACTGAATATAGAAGAAAAAAGCTTGAGTCATTTTCTCGAAGTTCCTTAAACCTGATTCGCTCACAATCAATTGCTTAGCAGGAATGGATTTTCTTCAACACAAACAACTAAAACACCTTAACACAAGTAAACAAGCATCTTCTTACGTTCAGTCAGTACTTGCAAGCGGAGTTGTAGCTCATTGCTTTAGGGAGTTGACTTTCGACCAGTGGCTCGCGGGATCGAACCTAGCCCCACTTACCGAGACTTGGGCAGCCAAGTAGCATAACTCTTACACAATGTGTGGAGCATTGCCTACTACACGAATGTGCGCAAGGTTGCTGAATGGATCTAGAGTCGACTCGAGTACTGACAAGCAGAGCGATTTGACGTTAACTTGAAAAATAATTTCAAAAAAATCAGCTTTCTGAAGCAAACTTCTTAAGTTGTCAGATGACGAGGTCTAGAATGTTCTCAGGTCTGGTTATAAAAAACTGACTGCATATATGGGCAGTCCCCAACTATTTGTTTCCAAGATGTGTTTGTTTGGCTGAATTTCTCTATGAGCATTTTTATGTTTCAAGAACAAAAGTAAAATGTACTTGTTTGCATGAAATCTGGATAAAAAGCTAACGTAGTTCCTATGCACCCAATAGTGATATATTCAAATGAACTATTGTGCCTTTTTAGTCAAGATCAACTAAATAAATAAGTCGTCTTACATAAATCAGTTCTCTGTCTTCATATTTAGATAGTCACAATTTAATAAGACAACAACCACGTGTGAACAATAGTGCCAACTACCGAAAAAGACATTTAAGATTGAATTTTGAAGGGACGTTATCCACTTTAAGAAATCAAAATGTAACTATGATGAAGGAAAAATTGACTAGGAAACCCTGTGATTTCAAACTTGTCTGTTAGAATCATATCTGAGGCAATGTCATCATATTTCCTGAAGTCACTTCAAACGCATACACTTCAGTAAATGAAATTCTTTCGAACTGCATTCTAAAGTCTAAGCGATTTCAGCAAAGCTATAGCTGCTAAATCAAACGCTTAATAAGACAAGGATAATTACTGTTAACAACCAGCAGGGGTAAACCTGACATTACAGAAACATATGGCAGTATAGAATGGTCGTCAAGTAAATGATATTGCTAGTGAGAAGCGCTGCAGAAAAACTTGTAGATCAACAATAAAAACAGACAATGGATTAATCCTAATACTTAATTCGGGAATGTACGTAAACAGAATATCTCCATTAAGGATATAATTCATATGCAATCAATTCCCAACAAATGAACTTACGACGACTTAAATTCGTAGTCCATAAAAAGTAAAGCATAAAAAATGAAATCTTAGACGGATTACTCAGCTACCTGGTTTATATGACGAAAAATAACCAACAATGTCCATTTTTGGTGAGAATAACATAATGACTTAATTAACGAAATATGCTCTGTACATACTGTCGAATAAATAACACTGATCGAATTATGTTTTAGTGCACTGCTTAAATGATGTTGATAGGAAAAGTAGTTCAATTTATAGCAGAAGCTACTGCACTATACTAGATTTCGATTACTTTGCTCAACAAATAAAAGGTTGAGGATACAAAACTTAGACTGCAGTTCACATACTAAGATTGAGGAATAAACTGGGCCAGAAACGTAAAACAGTAAACAGTCTTGCATCACTTTGCAGATAAGCAGTAGTTGGACTGTGATAATTTAAGAAAATTTGGACATTGGGCAGATGACATTTATTACTTTAGCATTTGTATTCCCCATTTTATTTGGATTAATATCAGATTTATCTTCCTCAGGGTATAGTTCTAAAAAATAGTTTTTTTCTGTGTAAAGATACATTTAGCAGGCCTGAGATCGATAGAGCTTTACAAAATCAAAGAATACGTTTACTTTAGTTGATGATAAGTGAAGGCCTCTAGATGTTAGGTGTAACTTGAAGACCGGTAAGTACTTCGTAATCCAAACCAAACAAGTTCTTCATGGTAAAGGCTGATAAAGTGGGGTGTTTTGTTTGATGCAATGAAAATGAAAAGATCTGGTTAAAAAACTCTTTTCAATCCATTTCTGCGAGAACTTTATAAGGTTAACATCCTATCACCTAATAACCACAAATATGTCATCTCCCTCACTGCGTAAACATTTATTGTAGCCTACGGCTAAATGGTGAAAATACTTAAGATTATACAGTCCATCATGACCACGATACATTATGCCAACAATATCCAAAAAACGAAACCACAGCCTGAACGTCTTACCGGGATAAAAACTCATCCTGCTTTGACATCTTGACCTTTGTGTTAGTCTCCTTTTGAATTCGACCAATGGCCTCTCCAGATTTTCCAATAACAGCTCCAGCAGCAATTGATGGAATTAAATTTTGAGCTGAACGCTATCCTCTTTATAAAAAATACATTGTCAATCAATTTTTGTGCACGTTTTAGATAATCAGGAGTCAATTAGGTAGAAACTTACCACAGTTTGGACGTTTAGGACTCGTGTCTTGGTCTGAATCTTTCTCAGGAGGCCGTTTCCTCGAATCACTGCTGTCATCAGAGCTCGAATGACTCCCAGACATGGCGCTGATAGGAACCTCCAACAGACTTCCTGATGGAAAACTTTCAATAAGTCAACATCACTTCAGGTAACGATTAACGGCTGTAACGTCAGCCTTAAATCTTGCTCTAGTATCCAATATCTTTTTATGAGCTAGTGTAAACCAACTGATTTCTTCACTCTCACTTCTAGGTCTTGCAGAATGGTTGCAGATCTTTGGTGAATTCCGATTAGTAGGTCTACCTACTCGACTGCTGTAGTTCTGGTTAGCCCAAAGAGCGGTTGGGTGTTGGTTAAATTTTTAGGGAGTGTGTTGTTTTTTTCCAAGGACTATGGTGCAGGTGGGTCCCTCAAGTGTTGTGCCAGCAGACAACTAATTGGTTGGACTGGTTGTTAAAAGGAGATGAAAAATATGTCCAAAGAAATCAAGGGAGAGAAAGTGCGAAGAAAAATAAACAGAACAAAACGATTAGGAAAAAGGAAACGGTACGGAAGTAGAAATGTCGGTAGACTCGTGGGAGAGAAGTAATGGGCAGAGCCTTGTAAAAGTGCAAGAACGTAAACTCAGTAGGTTGAGAAGCAGAAAATAACATTATAGGATTGCTTATGGGAACGGTAATTCCATTAGTAGGAGACCGTAACTGGGGAGGACGCCCTTAGGGAAGCCTGAAGTTAAGCCATGTTCGCAGTGATTGTGGTGTTACAAAGTATTCCATAATGCGTTGGACGTACTGAGTTGGTAAGTCGTGTCCGCGTAGTCCATATCCTCCCAGCTGGGTGAGCGCAAGCCATGCGTTGCTGCATAACTGTCCAACCTCTTCATGAAGCCGTCAACAGTAACCTCAGTAGGCAATGCGTTCCAGTGGCCGCAGACCTGCAGAGGGAAAAACTGTGAACGCGCATGGGTATTTGCTCTTTGGTGGGTGATTCTCCTTGGGTTACCACGAGGATCGCCACAGTGGCCATTCGGTAGGATTCCACTGTTCGGATGACCTGGGTTACTGAGTATTTTGTAAGCTACTATCAAGTTGTCACGTAATCTACGGTGGCTTAGAGAGTAGAGTCCTGGATCTTTCAGCCTATCCTCATAGGGCTTTCGCCTGATTCTTAAGACACCTTTTCGTGGCTTTCCCTTGGACTTTCTCTAGGAGGTTCACGTCTCTTTTCAGATATGGTGGTGCAATGACGTCGTGGACCTCTAAGCGAGGTCATATCTAAGTCATATACAGCTTCGAAAAGAGTTCCAGGGTCAGGGCACCTGGTTGTCCGCACATGAAGTTTAGTGCTGCGTAGGCTCTGGAGGCGTCTCCTGGATAACTGGAGCTTGCGTCTAGCTTGTCAAACTGTATTAGTCCTAGGTCTTTCTCCGTCGTGATGTGAGAAAGTTGTGTTCCACAGAGAGAATAGGGTACCTTCTGAGAGTCAGGGGTGTGGAGAAACATGACCCGGCTCTTGTCGAGATCAAATGCTAGTCCATTAATACCCACCCATTCTGCAAGTAATCTGAGATCACTTTGCAGTGAGCTTGTTTCTGTTTCGGACGTCGCAGCTCTCCATAACTTAATATTATCAGCGTAAAGTAGAATCGGGAGCTGAGACTTGGTGGGAGGTTGCTCACAAAAAGAAGGGATGGGAACGGACCCAGAATCGCTCTTGTGGTACACCAGGTGATGATGTCCTCCAAGTTGAGCAGCCTCGTTGGCTTTTGCAGGGGACTATCTGTCATCCAGATAGTCCTGCAGCCATGAGAGCACTTGACCCTCGATGCCAAACCTTGATATCTTGTGGATAAGAATGGTGTGCTGGACTATCAAGGGCCTTATCGAAATCCGGGAAAGTGACATGAACAGGAATTTGCAGGTTCCAACATGCCTTCCACTCATCACCGGCCATCAGAATGTTTGAAGCGCAGGACCTACCCTTTCTGAAACCATGTTGAGCATCACTTGGTGCTCCCCCTTTTCCAAGTACTCTCTAACATGGTCGCCCACCGTGCTCTCCGCTACTTTTGACACCACTGGCAGAAGGGCTACGGGTGGATAGCATTTTGGGTTCTGCCTGTCTCCTCCTGTGGAGATAGAGGAAGCATGTGATTGTTTAAGGACTTCTGAAACAGACGACGCATTTGACTGCACAACCTTAAACTTCAAACTTTGTGTTGTGGAAATAGAGACTGATGGTTTCTTGGACTTCAGGTCCGTTTTAATGGTATACTTTCTCTGCTTTGAATCTTCAGTTGTTTACGTGTCCACTTAAACCTGGGGGGAGAGATAAACAATCATTAAGTAGTCAGCTCGATATAGGTAATGTTCACATTCATGGTCTTTATTACAACAGGCCACTTGCTTAGTACAGTCCACCTGTACCATTGGACTACATGTCTGCGGCGCAGACGAGTTGGCACGGGCTATGAACCTCGCTTACTGATGTCTTTAAAAGATAACCCGTAAAGCGAGGCTTCTGATCAAGGTGCAAGAGCAGTCAGTTTGGATGAAGAGGGTCATGGAGGTAAAAAAATTCCTCAGAATCAATGTCCCGGGGTTCGACGTGACTCAGTGTTGATGTTAGCGTTCCCAGTCCCAACGGACTGGCTGAGTGGAAGACATACTACCAGGCAGTCAAGCCATTTAGCGCGTTCCTGTGCTGCTTTGCATTCGCTCCCATGTGACCCTGTAGCAGCTAGGTAAAGTCATAAGAGTGTTTCGGCACGGCTTATCGTGCACGCTTTTCCTACCAGGCTATTCTATCATGTCTTGGTCTTGCATTACAAACACGGAGAGTTAGGTATTAGCCTCGGTTTCTGCTAAGTTCGTGCATGATCGGTTCTAAAGCTCGTGATTTGCGCACCTCTGTTTTCATGTGGATAAATTTTATTTATCTGCATCATAAACTTTCGCATACACGCGTGAATGGACTCCCTAGCTCATCTGCATTTAACCGGCAACGTGAACAACTAAGCTGATGTTATACTCGTCGGACAACTCATAAAGACTGTTCCTCCACACCAAAGCTGAGTTCCAAGTACATATGATCACGTATTCTCTTGCTCAATTTCTAGCTGTCACACGACCACTTCAGCGGGCATTAAACTGGCATGTTATGATGCATATGTTTAACCCTGAAGTAATTAATCCCAACGAACTGCTCAAAGTAGCCTTTTTGAAGAGAAGCGATCTCAAGGGCTACCAAGGCTCAAGTGAATTGCTCCGTGGTATCGAGCTAGGTGTCAGTGCATCTAATCAGGTGCTCGCACGGACGTGGCCAACAAGCGTTCGACGATGGCCTCTATGCTAACTTTCCTCTCGAAACAACTACAGCCGGTGAAAACCACGATGGTGAAACTTCATGCCGTTGCTATCAATGACCCAGGAGTTACGGTCAGTAAAATATTGGAGATCTCCGGCAGATCTTTCTCCAGAAGTGCCTCAAGTCCTGTGATGCCACATCTGGCGGTATTTCTTACGTCGTTGCTCGCGTGAAGTGTTCTGAATGTTAAATATCTATGCTCCTTCGGCCTTCAGGTTACCAACACTCCACAAACTGCTGTAAATGAACGAGCAACTTTCTATTAGTGATCCGACACATGTTTTATACAGGCAGTTTCTTGATTCTTTATAGTTTGAGAGGTGTGAACGTGTGCCTTCCCTCCCACACATCTTTTCACAATTATGGTACCGTCGTTGCTGGAGATGCGAAGGTCTTCATGCCTTCTTCTATCATGGTACGGCTTTTTCAACTTGCGGTTTGCAGTGCATTTCCCAAAACTATCAAGTATCAAGCTTTCCCTTCATTGTTCCTCTTAACATGTTGCCCACAATTGGTTTCAGTTTTCGATAGCGTAAAATTTTTTGTGCTACTAGATATTTTTGTTCCCATTGCGAGTGAAATGAGAACTGAAAGGAATGTAAGAGCACCGATGGGATCGCGATCGACATGCTGGTCGAATCATCCCTCTAGGCTTTTCACCGACACCCAAGAATAAGTTCAGAGAACAAGAGGCCACTCTTTGGAGTGAACCCGTCAGGAGAGATTCGTTTGTGGCGAAGCCACTATAGTCTACACCTGGCTTGTCAGCTAGCTACAATCCAACCTGTGTATCCTTTATCAACAAGAGTTGACTCGATTTTCCCCTGTAGTGAACCGGCAACCAATAGAGTTATTCAGTGCTGTTCATACTATTCAGTTTCAATTTAGGCTGGAAGCGAGCTTTTCGTGTTTCATTGGGTTTGGGTGTATGCCGAATCCAGTAAGCTTCAGAGTTCATAAGGTGACCGGATACATAGAAATCGTTGTGGTTTAGAAATGTCGCCCTGGTAGCCACCCAGCATCTAGAGGCGACTTATTCCTGCTTTTTGCTTTGTGGGTGTATTCCTTGATAAGCTGTAACATCTACGTCAAAGGCGCTAACTATTGCATGTTGATTTAAATGAAGATGGCTATAATCCAGTGGTTTCTGTCTTTCAGTATAATACACTGGGTTGTGTAGCAATACTGCGCATCGCAAAATCTCGACTTGGCTGCATTATACTCGCTACCGGCCCTCATTTTCGTCATCACATACAGACAAGTCAGTCTTTTTAATGATAATGACAGGCTACATAAACTCCCCCGTAATCGCATGAAAAGCAAAGAACCAAGAGAACAACATGTGAAGCACACGTTTTTGGTATTTAGTTTATTTTTAGAATGAACAGTGAAGCTCAAGAGTACAGAGGTCG